CCCACCCCTCCCCTCCACACCTCCTGGCTCAGGGGGATGCTGCGCAGCCAGGCGCCCTGACCGCAGGCGGTTTGGAAGCAGCGATCATCTTCCCTGAGGGTTTGTTGTTTTTATTAGCTGATTATTTTTTTAAGGAACAAAATGGACCACTGTGGTAATCTCTGATCTCAAGGTAACGTCCTACGTGCTCTGAGACACAGTTTCCTGTCTCTTTATAGCCCCGTTCCCAGATAACGGGGTCAAAGCCCCTCTGTCTCGGGGCACAAGCGGGAGGGAAAATGGTGTTGCGGCTCAATTGGAGAGGGCGGCTGGCGCGTGGAGGCCGCAGCGGAGCAGCGCGGGCCTTGGCGTGGGCTGACCCGCGCTTGCGAGGGCTGGCAGTGGCAGTCCGCGCGTCCAGCTGCAACAGGCAAGGGCGCGACAAAGTAACCGCACCGATTCCCCAGATGTGCTAGAAGCCTCTGCAAATAGTGTCATTTTTACCTCAGTCTCATGACCTTGTGTAATTTGTGCTTTTGATTTTGTTTTTGCATTTTGCTTTGGGGCTGGTGATGTGAAATGAAGCAGCACTTGAAAGCAAAAACCATTTAAAATGGAGAAATAGATTGAAGATGACCATCTTGAAGGGCCTGACTGGACTGTTGTGCAGTCTTACTCCAGCTTTACGGTCTTTCTTTCGTGCTCTGCCATTTCCGAAAGCTCAGTCACAACGTGGTCATTTTTCTTCTCTTTGTTCTTCTTCCTACTCTGGTAACTAGTGCCAACTGAGGTGTTTGGATTGGAACATATGGGCTGTGTCTCTGTAGACAGCGGGGTTTAAATCATCTAAAATGGAAGACAGCGTCATTCTTGTGGTTTAGACAAAATCATCCATGAAAGTCTTACAACATCACAAACGTTAACTCTTCAAGGAGGCCCTAAATACATGTACAGGTATCACTTTACCAGCCGCTGAAATACAGCCATCTCCCGGGTGGAAAACAACAGCTGTTTAGTCATGTACAGCAATACTAGCAAAACAGTAGACTCAGAGATGAATAATACCATCAGAAAATTCACATCTATGCAAAAATATTTCAACCATTGCTAGGGAAGCTTACTTAGTAGCTATACCTTTGATCTGTTCCTACTGGCTTAAGTGCTTGTGTCTGCCAATGAGAGTCATTTTTAAGCACATGTAAATAGGCTACAATAAATTACGAAGGTTACTATGGTTTCTTCTGTCATTTCCGCAGGTTTGGATCGTTTTCTGTTTGGCCATGGCCACAATATATACATTAAAATTAGTAGTTGGACTTGCAATAACATGCTAAATAATATTTTTAAATAATTACAAAAGCCACAAGTTAGCAGCAGAATTAGTAACACGGTATATAAAAAGGAAATAAAAATTCCTGTTGCTGCATTTTATTGAATTATAATTTTTGTTGGAATAAAAATCAAATGTGGTAGGTCAAATACATAGTGGTTTTGCCTCCGTTTCGTATGGATGACACTAAAATAACTTTTAAAGAGTTGAAATGTGTCAGGAATAAATAGTATTTCATTATAAACCAGTTTTTGTGCAGTATTGCATGGGGCTGGGCTGATGCTGGAGAACCAGGACACCCACTTTCCCATCCAGAGAGGATTCTGAGGCACAGAGATCTTTTCAGTTTGAAAGGAACTGCCACAATTACCTGTGCTGAACTTTTATTCATGCAAGCTGTGTGCATCCATCAAGTAATTTGCCCCTCAGTATCAATAGCTGTGGTTGAACTAGGCCAGACCTTCTAGGTAAAAGATCCCATGTTCTACTTACATATGCGAAAAAGATGCGTTGTTCAAGATCATTAATGTTCTCCAATAAGACTGAGCTTCAACTTCCTAGACTACAGATGATCATCTCGGGTGTATTACATCCCTACAACTGCATTTGGTTTAGGAAGAACGGATAAATACATGGCACCACTTTACCTTTTTATTATATATAAATACATTTACGCTCTTTGTCTTACCTGTTGGCAGCTTCCACCCTCAGAGCGTGGCCAAATAGTTGTAACACAACTGAGGAGGTGGGGAGCTCTTAAAGTGCATCAGCTGCTGATGAAATAAAAACTCAAGCTGGCAGAATATTCCCTTGAGAAGGTCCCGTCCATCCTTCTCTGTGCCCAGCTGCTGCTTCTTCCTTTCACCAGAAGCTTCTGACCCCGTCAGTTGGGCTGAATGCCAAATACATGTGGGCTGGCCTCTAAGTAAGGAGAAGTTTCTGTCAAGGGTATAGAATGAAAATCCTTATTTGTTTCAAATCAAGCATGGGGTATGCTTCTAATGCAAAATTAATGACCCTAATTTAAACTATCAGGAAATGGGAAAGGATATGTTGGATTTGGAGGTAGACAGCTGGAGAAGAAATACAGTAGTGAAAGCAGTTATGAAACAAAACCTGAGGCAATCACAATCACTTCTCTAAATGTGCAAGCCTGAAATACTTCAGTCTACAAGTCCACTAATTACAAATCTAGCAAGTATGCCTGTACAGCTTCACCTCTGTGCTGGCAGGAAATAGGAAAATAGATCATCAAGAAACCTAGTTACTATTCTTCTGGACTTCCTAATGTATCAGCAGTTTAAGTGTTGGTATTTTGATCACTCAGTGCTGGAAGAGTTATTTGGCTATTCTCTCACAGACCAGAAATAACTTAAAGCTTTCTTAGTTCATTGTCCGTCTGTCCACAATGTCTTGTGCTATACTGTCTCTGAGGACTCACTGTAAAAAATAAATGCTTTTTACTGTAAGATACAAGACTGACATATTTAGGAGGTCAGAGAATTTATAAATAATAATAATAAAAAAGGAATTGGCCTGAAATTCCTATCAGTACATATTTTTCTTGAGATAACACAAAGTTTAAGTGGGATCTTGAAGGCTAAGTTCCTGAAGCATCGTTTTTGATAGGAAACGCAATCAATAGTAATTATAGCTCTGCATATCAATCTGTAATCTCTCCTGCAATTTCTTTATATAGCTAACTGTAGTAAACAAGAACAAAGTGCTTTATATCTGCTGAGTTAGATAAAATTGCCAGTTTTAAAGGCAAGCAATTTTATTATTGTTAGCTTATGGGTTAGTTTGAAAGGGTACATGCTGGACTAAAACAAGCTACTGCTAAGTGATTAGGATGGTTTGAGCTAAGCTAAACTCTGTGATTTTTTACCTAAACAAAACACATGCAAGTAAGATAGTGCATATCATAACTTTCAGCCGACACATTATGCTCAGATGAAAAGAAATTTTGTGGGTGAAAGCAACAGAAGTTTTGTTTTTACCAAATCAAAATACATAATACCTGCCCTTAGGTTTAGTTCCTCTAACTTAGGGGTATTATACCAGTAACTAAAAAAAATAGAAAAAATAATGCAGCACTTCTCTCTAAGGTAGATGATCTGCTTTAAGTAAAAATAACTTCCTTGTAGTGGCATTCTAAGCTTTATACTGATTTGCTCTGCACAGCATCGAACTGCAACATTTAATAAATAATGCAATCACAAAATTGCATATACTGAAAAATGGAAAATTGGATCACCTGTCTATCTAAAAATCAGTATTCAAACACAGGAGTGATAGGGTAGAAGCTGGAAAAAAACAAACATGAGTTTTCTCAAGATGTTTCTTTAGCTTAATAATTACTCATGAATGTCTTATATTCTCCTATGTAATCTAAGAATTAGCCTATCAGTTTGGTTATTTGTAATAGTAAGTAATACCCTCTAGTGGTATACAGAGGAAAAGAAGCCAGACAAAGAATAATTACTTTCTTTTTTTATCATGAAAAAGGCTAAATGACATTTTCAGTTGTATAACATAGGGTTTCACTGTCCTGTCGAGAAGTGTGTTAACATGGAAAATGCACTGCAAGCATTAGACTTGAGTTAGATCTGGGTTTAGTTACAACCGCTGGGTCTAGAATATGATCTGGACCACTAGAAGTCTTGAATCACTTGTTTGCAGACAAAACAAATTGCCACTGCAACACTTAAGAGTCTGAAAAGAGTGGTTCTAGTGATGCCCAGGTCAGAGAGATCTGTCCTCACATCTGAGGGCTACATTTAATTCCTACTCCCTAAAAGTAACTCTACAGGCAAAATAGGAATACTCATTATTCTCCAATATTGGAGTGTAATAAAGTCTGTATTTCCAGAGTCCATGTGCAGTTCAGAGTTCATTATAAAAAAAAGATTTTCTGAAGAAGCTCATAATCAGGGTTTCCTGCAGTTACCAGATCTTTTGTTTTATTTGCCAATTGGCAAAGGTTCATAGATTGAGGTGAAAACTGACAGTGCTGGAGAAAAAGATCCAACAAATGCCCCTCTTGCCAAGAAAAAACTTACGAAAAGACGTGTGTATATACACTTGAATCTTTTCCAGAAGCCCAGTCTACTAATGTAAAGTCATCTAGGTCCATTTTGAAATAATCTTTGTTTCCATAAACAAAATATCCCTAAGTAATGACAATATCCAGGAACTTCTTTACTCTGAAGTAGCATGTCAATGTACAGTATTTGTCATGATGTGATGACACCTGACTAGTATCGTATCATTCTCATTGTCACTTTGGTTTTGCCCTTCTCCTGCAGCCCCATTATTGCTACAAGATTTAAAAGCTTTTGGTAGTTTGTCATGATTTTCCCCACCCCTCCAAGAGGAAGGATCCCGTACTGTTCAGGTATCACACTGCTTCAGACTTTAAATCAGCTTCTGAACTAATGTTAAGCAAGGCGGTAGTCAGAAGCCAATTATTTTAAGGCCTCATGAAGGAAGGATTTACTATGCCTTATCTTTCTGAGCTGTAGTAATTCTCTATTATGTTCCTGGCATTAGTTCAGCTACTGCAGGGTCTTGGACCAGTGTAATCTTCAATACCTCTAGTTATCTCCTTATTACTTATTTTCTTATGCTGCAGCAAACCAATCTCTACTCTCTTTATCCTCTTCTAAAGGATATAATAAAGGAAGGAAAAACATTGCCCATCTCCCCAGCTGGTGTAACTTCACTGGTACTAATATAGTATAGCATCTAATTAAACTCACCAACTTTCAGACTCCACATCATGGTTAATAAAGCTGAGACAGTAGTTTAAAAAGTTCTGACAAGGATTTATTAATTTATGCTTGTGAACAAATGTGTCTGACAGTTGAATGATAAGATTGCCATACTCTGTACAGAGATCTTTTTTTTCTAGAAATCTTCTTTCCACTGTGTTGACAGAACCTGCAGTATAGAAGTAGTTCAGGAGTGGGTGTCAGTTCACAGACTCTAACCCAGTTACAAAGATGGCTGCATGCCCAGATGAGATGAAGGTTCAGACTTTCTTGCTACTGTTCCTGTTTCAGTATGTTCAATCTTGCTGAAAAACCAATCAAGCTGTCTGACACCTGGAACAGGAGGGAGACACTAGGTGTTACCTTCCTGTGTTAAGCTGGCTAGGAAGTTTTATTACCAAAAACAAAAGGGAAAAAAAAAATCTTGAAAAGCTATTTCAAGCTAAAAGCTGGAAGGAAAGAAGCTAGACAAGCTGAGCCTTCTGTGCCTTTTTTCTGTCCATGCTGAAGGTTGAGAAAAGTCTCCTTCAATGGAGGAAGATGGCAGTTCTGTGGTTACTTTAAAAATGCTGCTTTCTAGTAGGTGGGCAGATACTGACTGTAAGTAGCATTTTGTGCAGAACACTTGCAGATGGGCAGATACGGGCTGTGAATGGCATTTTGTGCAGAACACTTATTTTTCAAACTTTTAAATATTGATTTATGTATATAAGAAAGACATATAAAATCTCTAAGTATTTTCTCCAAGCCTTAATTTCCTCATTCACTGGCAAAAAAATAAATATTAAAGTTTTCTAATCTTCACTTGAATTGTCAAATTCCTCCCAGTCTGATACACTCATAACTTCCGATGGAAAGTCAAGGTGATACTTCACGCGGTCTGCATGCCATTCTGAGAACCATTTCTCCGTTTCCATTAAAATAGCCCTGGGCAAAGTGAGGACGCAGGCAGCCATCCCAGAAATATCATCCTCCAACTGGGGTCCTTCCTCCCAGCAGTCTCTCTCTGCATCGTAAATGTGGACATAGTCCATGCGGATTCCTCTGTTGTGGGATCTGCCTCCCAATACATAGATCCTGTTGGCTAAGACTGCAATACCTGGCTCTCCATGTCCCGCAGGAAGTGGACACACATTTGTCCACTGATCAGTGCTTGGCCTATAGCAGGCAACCTGTAAAAAAAAGAGAGATTAGCCAAAATCAAACTTGTATCTTAGTGACAGAGCTTGGCCATATGGCAAACTATTTAGGAAGCCATGCAATATCATCAGTCTTTTGACAGGGTGTTGATAATAGAGAGAGCGTATCACTATGTAGTAGAAGTACAGTACTCAGCAGAAAACTTTGCATAGTTGCCATATCGCTTTGAATCATAACTTCTGACCGTGCTGCTGGGGTAACAGCTGTATGTCATTCAAAAAATGCATACAAAAGTGAACGAGATGGGGACACATGCTAATATAAGCTCAAGCATAATGCATCTATTTGCATTAGGAAAAAATGGGCTGGAACATACAAATATGACAAATCTGTTAAGCTGTCTCTGCACCATATGTTGGGAAATTTTAGATTTCATTGTGTACCTACTTAGCTGACTGCTTTTATCTGTAAGCATCTTGTTATAATTCAGATACACTTTTCAGCTAGATTTAATTCTGCCATCTTCATTGGCTTTATAAGAGCAGTTATTTTTTCTGTCTTCTTTTCATGTCTCTAGCAGTTCTAGAAGCTGGAATAAGACTCAAGAGAATTCTCTGCAGCCATCACTTATCATCAGGCACTGTACATTTAATTGCATTATACAATTGCCTTCCAACATAACAACTCTGACCTGCAGTTACACATTGGTAATTCAAAAGTCCTTGACTTAGAAAAAAATGCACATGAGCAGACAATGTAAAATAAATTAGTTGATGTACTACTTATTGGGTGTGTGTATGTCAATGCATGTTATCCATCAAAGATGTTTTAAAATTGGTAAGAATTCCGAGTGCTAGAGCTTTAATGCTTTGTGGGTTAGTGCGTTCGAGAAAGACAGCAGTAAATAAATCCTTGCAAGTTCTGCAGCTGAGTGGGGGAGAGCTGGTGCACTAGCTGTTGCAGGGCAGACAGTTTTATTTGCATACATTGTAGGAGAAAGACACTACGTCAGAGTGCAAGCATCCATAAGAAACAGGCTCTTCCAAGAAAGACGCAGGTATGACATGCTCTCACCTGGTGAACATCCCTTCTATAGCCAGAATCATTGTTGCTTCCTCCAATTACATAGAGCTTTCCTAGCAGTGCAGCCATCCCATGCCAAGCGCGTCTCACTGGACCATCTGCTAAAATGTCCCAGCGGTCAGTCTTTGGGTCATAACATTGTAGCTCCTTCAAATAGTCTTCTCCTCTCCTCCCACAGGTAATATACATTTTCCCATCCAGTGCTGCTCCAGCATGTGCATAGACCTGTATCACCACATGGGAAAGCAAGAGGTTGAGGTCTGGATTTACGCATTTCTCCCGGTTTCAAAGTATGGAATAGACATTAAGACATTCTTCATGACTTATGCAGATATCAAAATCTGGAAGGATTTTCTTATACACAATTCCCTTCTAGGTGATTATGCTGTAAGTTTGAGTTTCTAAATGAAATACACTAAAATTTCTACAACTTCCAGAACTGCAGTGGGTTCTCATTCTTTATTGTTCCTTGGTTAGAAGATCATTCATACTATTACTTTTCTCCCTAGTCTACTTGGAAGCGATTCTGTTTGAGATTTTTCTTACACAAGCAGTATTATCAGGAATGCAAGGTATTCTACTTAGTACTACTTAATTGGATTTTAAGGCTTTTTATATTCTTGGCATTGACAAACATTTATTATTTGTGACCTCATGCAAGCCGTTTATCCTCTTCTGCCTCTGCATCTCTTCTGTAAAATTACAGTAATATAGTTTTAAGGTGTCCTGAGATTCTCAATTGAGATGCATTATGAAATCACAAATATTATTTTGTGCTGGTCACCTAACCCAAAGCTTTTAAAAGGTGTAGTAGAAATCAGCATAGTTTCTTGAATGATTACTCAGGATTTTAGTTTTCTTTCCTAACTGAGATTCATCAGGCAGTTGTTTGTGTTCATCTTCCTCCTTTGCAACACTTTTAACCTGAAAATGGAAATTGTTGCCTTTTTTAGCAGTATTAGAACATAGAACAAACTTTTCCACTCATAACCACAATTGCCATGTCACTACACCATTGCCTGGTTCTGGGGGTCATGACTGCTAGTTTGGCAGCTGCTGTTCTAGAAGGATAAATGGTACCGATGACAAAAGATAGCTGTTCACTCATGTGTATCAAATAAGTAATGACCTTACGTTAGCTGACTGAGATGTGATTCTGCATCACATAAACTACTGTCACCAGAACTTGTTACCCAATCTCAGTTCTGTCCAGGAACTAAGTAGTCTGTAGAAACTCATGTATCTTCTTACTGGGGCATTATCTCTTCTGATCAGGAGTAAAGCACGTTGTCAGGACTGTGAGAAGCTTGCACTACTGTGGCTCATAGTTTACCTGCCTAGGAGGAATGGGAACTTCCTATTCGCAGAGGTTATGTGTTCAATTTTAAAAGGTTGTAAGGATTACCACAATAAAGGTGCAGGGGAAAACAACAAGAAAAGAGGAAAAATAAGTATTTAAATTAAAAATTGAATTCACATATATTATTATTCTCCTTTCTTGATATTCATTTATCCCATATACAGAAGTTACTGTTTCCCATCCGAATATCAGCATGTTTAAAGCTACGCATAAGAAAAGCACCTAAAAAGATGAAATCAGGAATTGGGGAACTGTAGTAGTGTGTGTGGCTAATGCACTCCTTACCTCCTTCTTCAGAGGTGTCACATATTCCCAAGTGTTGCTTTTAGGGTCATACCTCTCCACTTCCCTCAGGTCTTCATGGTAATCTCGGCCTGCGACAGCATAGATATAGTTGTCCACAACACAGACACTGAGGTCAGCATGCTCTTGCTGTAGGGACTGGATCTGGAACCATTTGTTATGTCGTGGGTCATACCTTGTAAAAGAATGGGATCAAAGAAAGTGATTCATACAGCCACAGAATCCTTGCTGGAATACCAGACAGCACCATAGATGTGGGTTACTGTACTGCCTTTGGCTGAAATTGAGCTCAGCTGTAAGTGGAGTGAAATTTGGCCTTGTCAGCATTTTATTATTAGCAAAGTTGTTTTATTCCATTTTTAGAAGATGTATTTTAGCTGATATAATCATGCTATAAAAGACTAGGTTTTCCATTATCTTATGCAGTGCTGTCAGGTTATACATCAAAATCTCTGCTTGCACAAAGCCATTCTACAAGGTAAACCAGTCTAATAATAGCACAAAGACTGAATCTGGATCTTCAAGAGGCCAAGAAGGGCACAAATATGTTGTGGGTTCTTTGATTATTTTCCCCAAATATCTGCTGCTCAAGTGAACCTCGTGATTAATTTTCAGATCAAAATATCTATCTGGCCTGGAAATTTTTGTTACAGAGAAAAACGGTTGTGAAGTGAAACTATGCATGCCATAAAATAAGGGCAACTCAGCTAAAATTAGTAAAAATGACCACATTATAAAGACAAACGGTTTTCTATCTAGTTTTGCAACGTAATGGGCATTAAGATCCTTCCTCCTGTTCTTTTCCCTGGCACACAGGCACTTAAGAGGACCTTGGAATGCTGCTGTTGTGCACACAAATTCTCAATAATCAAACAGTAATAGTGTTTAATGTAAAAATCCTTTTTGGTATCTAAATCCCTTTATATTGGGATCAAAACTACACATAGAGGACTTTGAGAAAATCCTAGTTCAAGAGCATCTAGACAAACTAGGATTCTAGTGAATCCTAGTTCATTACTGCTTCCCACACCTTTAATACTTCCTCCCTCCAGCAGAAGAAAGCAGCACATGTAATACTCTTGAATGAGTAGCTCTTCCTACCCTGCCAGGCTTGGCTTTGTCCCATAAGCACTGCTGGAAGCTCCCTGTTACTATGAATTTCATTTCTTTGTTTCATGTGTTTTCTTTCAGTGAGGCCCCTGCTTAGTTCCTACTCTTTTGGCTATCAAGTGTGTAGACTGCACTACTGTCTTACTGTCTCTGAGATGGACAACAGGGTGGTAATAAAAATAATAGCAGGATTATCCTTATCTTACCTCCAACACCTTGACTCTGCTCGAAAACCACTTACATTGTTGTCTCCGCCAATTAAATATACAAAATTATTGAGAACAGCAATCCCCTGGTTGGACATTCTGGGGGCTAGTGCAGCTGTAAAGTGCCTCCACTCTCCCAACAAGGGGTTCAGATACTTGGCTTGATCACTGAGGACAATGGATGGAGTAGAATGCATCCCTCCAAATCCCACTACACACTGGAACTCTGATCTTAGCTGTGTCTGGGAGCTTTGAAGCATTGGCTGAAGACATTCATTCTTGTGGTACATTAATGCATCTGCGACTGTATCTTTCAAAGGACATGAACTTAATTTGTCATGAAGTCTTTGCAGGATCTGGGGTTCCATCAGAGGAAAACGAACTGTCTCAAGTAGCTTAAGGGGCTCCATCAGGGAGACCTGATCTGTCTCCAGTTGCTCTGGAGAATAATGATAAAAAAGTGCCCCATCATAAACTTCAAACTCATTGTTAACCTCCAAGCGGTTGCTGCTGAGAAGGGAGTAGACCTTCTGCAAGGGCAGCTGTCGGTACACTTGTGTCCTTGAGAAAGCTGAAAAGTTCTTCAAAATGTAGGAGTCCAGCTGATCACTCAAATGTCTCAAGTCATAATGGTCAGCTAGTCTGTATACATCAAGGATGTTCTCTTCGTCTACCCAGGACATGAGAAAATCACAACAGAACTTAATGACTTCTGGAATCTGCAAGAGAAAGATATTTTTCATGTCAGACACCACTTGCCTCACCTCACACTCAAGAGACAGGTGACACAAGCCTGGGATGACTATAAATCGTCCACAAGACAACGGCTATCCTCACAGTCCAATCACCACATTCACTTGTGCCCAATTCACCTTTCTTCAGAGAAACAGAATTCAACATGAGTGTGTAGACGAATATAATACAGTAGCCACACTATACTGCAAACCTATGAGTTTGGCTTCAGGTGCAGCAGCAATGTGTCTTCCAAGGCACATGGGACACTGGACAGCCAGGCTGCCTGGTTTGTTAGTATGGCACCGAGCTGCAGGCTGCCTGGCAGGCAGTCATGAAAACGGAAGGCAGGGAGGACGTGGAGAAAGCCAGGTTTACAGCCACTCCGGATTTGTTCTTTCAGAGCACTACAGACACACTGTATCAAAGACTATATCTGTAACAAACATATCTGCATCACTCAAAAGCACAGGAAGCCATTTTAAAGGAAAATTAGTATTTAGTGTTGTTTTCTGAATACAGTTTGAAGTTCTATCTGACAGGAGGGACTACTGGCAAATAAAGAACTAACTGCTGTCCAAGTGCCCCTCTGCTAACAAAGTGGTGCTAAGTGCATAGAAACCAATCAAAGCAAGCACTCAGAAAGTTTAAGATTTAGCACCAAAGGCTTGTGCAGTGCTTAGCTGCAGGGGAAATTAGAGAAAAAAGAACTTGTCTTAAAGGCACATGAACTCTGAACTTAGTGCAGAAACCATGGTGGTAGGATTTCCTGTAGTGACGGGGTCAGGGGAGGTTATGTGCCTGTGGACTCAACCTGAGGAAGATCTTCAGCTGCACAATTTCTGAGCAGCAAGCCCTGTCTTCTACCGTAGGCCAGAGGTATTCCATTCTAGGGAAGCTTTCATAAGCACATCAGTGGAAGTGAGTGCTTTATAAAAGTCTTCTAGATGAAATGGTAAATGTTTATAATAAAACCAGTGGCACAAATGAAAGGTCCAAGTACTCATTCATTGTTCTTACTATTGCATAGTTAGTTCCAGTGGACACACCATCCCAAAGAAATTCTTCTTATCATACCCAGGCTCTCACTCACCCCCTAACCCTCCATCTCTCATTGTTGCTTTTGTTTCTTGCTTCTTTTGTGTCACATCTCCCAGTACCTCACCTGAAGCTGACAGGCTGCAGCTAAGGTTTCCTGTACACTGTTAACACTGAGTTCCAGCTCAGAAGTGTAAATGAAGTTCAAGATTTTACACATTGCATTGTAGGAGATGCCATGAATATGAACTTCTTCTTGTTCCATCTCTCTCAGTCCTCCTGCAAACATTCCTCTGTAAAAAAGACAATGGTACATGGTTTGGCAGATTTGCATTGAAGCTATTTTCAGTTTACTTATCTTATGTTGTCCTGGAAACATAAAAAAATACTCAGAAAGATAAAAAACTAGCCAGACACTTTTATGGAATTACCTCTTCTGTAAACCAATGATACAAAAAGTACAGGCGTTTAGGACCTAGCAAAGTAATACTCTTCATTCTGCAGAAAAACATAGGGGCCATCTGAAAGGCATGATTCATAGTCACAGGACTTAAATACAGACCCAGTACATATGGATAGTCAGTAGGCAGAGGTAGATACTCTGGGTGTGGGGGAAGAGGAAAAACAGAGGAAGTTGGGATGGCAGGTAAATTTGTTCCAGAGCAGTTCTTCCTCCAGTCAGAAGTTTGTCTGGATTGCCTTGGGATTTGTTTGTTCGCTCTATGAAAATAAAGTCAGTTCAAGAAACTGCTAGTCAAATTGACCAGGGGAGTGCCTGATTTAATGGACAGCAAGTCACACTACAGGCATGTAACAGAGGAGTGACCCACTTCCAGTGACTTCTTGTGTATTATGAAATGATCACCACAATGGGCAAAGTCTTACAAGGCTAATGATATGTTAAAAGCCACGCAGAGTGCATGTATGCAAAAGACACCTGTTCAGATAGTCTCTCCTCTTTATATACCTCCAAGTACCACAGGCAGTGAATTTAGTGGAGGTAAGCTCAGTGTGAAGGAACAAGAGCTTTATTTCTGTAGAGAAATAACAGAGAGATTAATAAAGCCATACTTCTTATTTTGAAACACATTCAGCTCCATCTTACGGGCCTGATTTTACATCAGAAGCAGTGTGCCAAGACAGAAGACTTGGATGTTGCAGGTTTGAGTAACATTTAGACACATGCTTGTTACTGCCGTACTGAAGTGTACCTGAAATAGTCACAGGATGCAGCTAGAAGTATCCGATGAGCCTCAATAGGTTTCTCTTCCACTACCAGAACTACATCGAAGAGGATGCTGCTGTCTCGGAGAGATACCAAGCCACTGAGCAAGGCCTGAGAGTGCTCTGCACTGCGGTATGTGTTGCTGGTGCGCTGCTGAAGGGAGGGCTCGAGTTGAGCTTTGTGTGGCTGAGTCAGCTCCTGATCCTCCGCCATCCCAGGCAGAAATGCTTAGCCACCAGCTGTAGCAGAATGAAATCTGTGAGACAACAGAATCAGCAAAGGTTTGTGCCTTTTGCTTTACAAATGGTCCTCTGACCCCCGCCTGTCACAGAAAATAAATCAAACCAACTCTTCAGTCAATGGAGAGACAGTTCTACCCTGAAGAAATTATTCTGAATGATGATACTGGAAATAGACAGGTGTACATCAGCATAGCAAAGTGGCAGAACATGGTTTTTCAAACAAGTATTCTGACTTCTGGGTTTTCACTCCAAGCATCAGAGTATGCAGCATGTGCGGATACTTTTTTTTCTTAGCAAGAGTTTCGCTTCCCAACCCATTGCCAGAACCCTTTGTTTCTTCTGCATTTCTGCATCATTTATAACAAAGAATGGACATAATTTTTGCCAAATTCAAAATTGCCTAATACCCTCAGATAACTTTGCTGCAATATAAACTGCACTTCTGTCTTTCTCTTGATATTTTACCACAGAACCTAAAAGCTCTCCTCTCTTCCTGTCTTTGCTTTTTATAGAATCATAGAATGGTAAGGGTTGGAAGGGACCTTAAAGATCATCTGGTTCTAAGCCCCCTGCCATAAGCAGGGACATCTTCCACCAGACCAGGTTGCTTAGAGCTCCATCCAACCTGGCCTTAAACACTGCCAGGGAGGGGGCAGCCACAGCTGCTCTGGGCAACCTGTGCCAGTGCTCACCACCCTCATGGGGAAGAATTTCTTCCTAATCTCTAATCTAAATCTGCCCTCTTTTAGTTTACAGCCATTCCCCCTTGTCCTGTCACTACACACCCTTGTGAAAAGCCCCTCTCCTTCCTTCCTGTCGTCCTCTTCACGCACTGGCAGGCTGCTGTAAGGTCACCCCAGAGCTTTCTCTTCTCCAGGCTGAACAGCCCCAACTCTCTTAGCCTGTCCTCGTAGGAGAGGTGCTCTAGCCCTCTGATCATCTTCGTGGCCCTTTTTCATTTTCCTTAGCTGAGCACATTTCCGAATGTCATTCTATAAAATACTGTATGAAACTGTAGGCTTTGAAGTGAGTTTCTTTATTGTGACAACTTCAAGCTAGCATGCACAACTGCTTTCCAATTCACCGTGACTCCCTGCAGAGAGAGGGCGTTTCTTCCAGTGTAGGCCCTTGTCGAGGGCTATCCTTTACCTTTTTCTAGGGCTGCCACTGACACTGCAGGAAGGTCCCCTATGGCACATGGGGAAACACCTGTAAAAACCTAGCTGGAAGTGATTGTGTTTCATGTCTGTGGTTAAGCTCTCAAAATCTCATGAGTCCTCTTCTACCATCCTGTAATTTACCCTTTCCATTGTCTTTGAAGAATCAGAAGTTTTAGCAGTTAGAGCTCATAGACTCTATCCAGTTGTCAGAGCGCATTAAAAAAACACATTAGGAAAAAGGAAATAACTTGGCTGATACGGCTGCTTAAGACACAGTTGTAATAGGCTCTGCTCTTGGGGCTGGGAAATAGCTTAGTGGCACAAGGGATAGTCACAAGAAGTTATCAGCAGTCAGAAAGGCAAAAGCAGAACAAAGCCGGCAAATCCAAACAGACAGTGAAGAAACAGAACCATTGTTTAATCGTGCCAGCCACAAATGGCGAAGGCAGCACTGGAGCTCTCTCAAAGTACTGCAAGGTATTCTGTGTATGGTCAGCGAGGAAGGAGCTATCTGGGTGACACCAAGAGATAAAAATGTTCATTGTCCTGCCTGAGGGAAGTTATCCTACACTGTCCAAAACAAAAGGGAGGTAGGTGGCATTGCATCATAAATGGGATGGAAAAAAGGCTGAAAAAGCATATTAATGGTTGTCTGCTCTTTGCCAGCAAAACCAAGACAGCCAGCTCAGAAGAGGACCTCTGATGAGACAGCCTTCTAGGGAGCACATTCAGGTCGATAATATAGGGGAAACTATCCATCATCAGCTGAAGAGATGAGTAATGGATGTTTTTTCATGATAGGTAGATGCTTTTCCTACAAATAAGATGACTGCTTTTGAAGCAGACAAAACATTACTGTATCATTTGATTTGCTCCTGAAGAATACTAAGAGTGATGGATTGAGGCAAAGGAGATAATATAGTAAAAAAGGCAAGTGAAGGAGTGTTACTAGATGTTGATCAGAAAATTCCCATTTCACTAAAAGGGAATAAATGCAGCAAAACCAAAGTAGGGTGATATATGGTCCAAATGAGGAACAGATTCAGATAAACCACATTAAATCTGTTAAAGCGGTTTAATGTGGTTAACACTCCAGAGTTAATGTGGTTAATGCTCAAAAAAAGGCTGCATCTTTTCAGCAGCTTACAGAGCTATACCAAAAGAAATCTCTATGAGAGTAAAATCATTGTATCAAAAAGCAGAAGTAAATGTAACAAATGTACTATTTTCTGAATTCAAAGACTTTTGTTGGGTACAAAGAGCATGACCTTTGATACAATCTTCCAGTGTGTCATATCGTATAGCCGTTGGTGGAAGAAATAAGTGAGATATATTAAACTGCACAGGCCATTGAACCCATGTACCAAGTGTTAGCAAAGAAACGTATTGTAGGAGAAGTGGCTTCCTGAGAGAGGGGGAGAGAGAGAGAGAGAGACATGCAGGGAAAAGTGGGAAACCTGTATAATTATCCCAAGCCTTTACTTAAATCTGTCTTTAATTAATATAATTGTAGACAGTACTATTCAGAATACATTCTGTATCCAAAGAATCTTAAAAAGGAACAGAAAGGGGATGAAGCTTTCAGCAAGTAATGCCCCAGAAGAGATCCGATCTTACAAATACAGTAACTGGAACCAGGAAGATTAAATGGTATTATGAAAGAGGTAAATTAAGAAAAAAAAAAAAAAATAATAATTCAGGGATTCTGAAGCCCGTACAAGCATCAGAATCTGCAGAGCTTTCAGTGACACACGGGGCTGTGTTGGAGATCTGAAGGGAGTTTATCTCACTGCTAGTTCTACTAGATACAGGCTTGAATTATCCCACAACTGTTAGCAAGAGCTGAACAAACCAGCCCTTCTAGCAGACCTGTGGTAAGACCAGTGTGGTCAAACATAGATGCTGGGAGTGCAGCTGAACCATCCTCCACAGCTGATTTTTGGCTAGTCAACAGCTGAGCCTACAGGTATCTTGCTGTACTCCGTTTTCTGAATTTTGGCAGTCTCTACTTGTTCTCAATGTCTGCCCCTGGATTGTATCTTGGCTGTCACTGGTGAGCCGGACTGTCCTCAGGGTGGTCACTCATGCATGTACACCAACACAAGAGCTGCCTTGTGTGCTTGGAACACAGAGCCACTATGACATAGAAATTCACCCCTCGCTATAGCTGCCTGTGAGTACTTTACCACCCACAGTTATTTGCTGCTAACCAGTTTTGGGTGTGCCAGTGGTGCTGTGGAAGAAGGGTAGAATACTACTGAGCAAGTACAGTGTATGTGGTCTAAAACCTGCCAGCACTTGTAAGCTCTTTTTGTACATGGATACATGAAATTTCTTAATTACACTGTGGCTACTCAGAAAACCTATATCCTGTCATGTCTCCCTACTCTCCTAAATTGGGCTGCAAGGCTCATAAACTAAGTATGAATGCCTATTGTCATAGTTTTAACCAGTGGTAACATACCACTCTAGCAAAATTCTCACTGCTATGATTTTTATGAATTGTTGGCTACTTATAAAATTAAAGGTGAGCATTTATGGTATTAATCCATAACAGCTGACTGACATAGGTAGTTAAGTCCTCTTCTTTGAGCCAAAAGCCAAGGAAAGCCTCTTAACTTGTACCTAGGTAGTCTTAGGATTTAGTAGACAAGAACTTTAAGAGAAGGAAGACTTGTGGGGGATGGCCAGCAAGACTCACTTAGCTGATTACTGAGTGCCTTCAGCTTTGTAGTAGTTGCACAAGGAGCAGCTGGGGTTGGGTGGGTAGGAAGTTACAAGGAGTGGTTGTTGAAGCAGGGTTAATGGGGTTGTGTTGTGGGCTTCTTGGAAGGAAAGTGTGGTGTTCTTGGCATTTGAGTTTTTCTGGATTAAATGCAGTGTGCTTGGTGAGCTGATAGTTCTGTGTATTTCTGAGTATTGTTTTAAGTGCTGACTACAAATCTGCTGGGGAGGGCTACTGGTATTAGCACAGCATCTCGCTTCTTGGACTGTGCGGTCTAATTGTGACCTGTGTGTTTTATGCCTTTGTTATGTTTTATGCCTTTGTTACTGTCTAAAAATCTGGTAGCCCAAAGGGTGGAAGTGTGCTATTTTATGTGCGGTGTACCAGCTGCGTGGTGCGAATGACTGTTAACATATCTAGGAACGGTTATGCCTTGTAAGTGTCCATCAGTCTTAAAAATTACATGGAAATTTACTCAGTAACCTCTGTATATTTTGAGCTGAAAATAATTTAATCCTATCTCCTCAAACTTGTATTTTGCTTAATCTTTATTGCCCTTTATAAAAAAAAAAATCTAAATGTAGTACAAGCAGTATAGTTCTGAATGGAGAGACAGAACAGGCTTGTTCTGCCTCTTGCATGCTGCAGAAAAACTTCTATTTACTGTTTTTCCTTCCTGACCACTCAGGAACTTTGCTGGCTTTTAGGGCTTGAGACACCATTTTCACAGGCTCCCATATCTATCCCTGTAAATGAAGGAGCTGTAGGCAGGCCCTTGTGAGCTAACATAAACACATAAACGCACAGCCCCTTGAACCATGCAGCTAAGTTGCCTCTATCCTGAGCCTCTCTACTGCCAGCTTCTTGCTTCTAGGATGTTCTTGAGGCCTCTCTGTTCTCTTACTTCTGTTACTGAGAAACTAGCTCTGTGACTGAGCCAAGTTCCTAGAAATACGAGGAATAACTTTTTTTTCTCTCCTCTTGTGCAAGTTTCTCGGTGCTGGTCAGCTGTTAACAGTGGGACTCAGTGGCTGAATATTGCAGGACTGACCCTAAGGTGGAAGAGATGAGGAACTCTTTCTGTTCACTGTGCTTCTTCAACAGTAGCAAAGACAAAAAGAATGGTCTCA